ATATCTTTAAAACTTAATAAACTTCTTTCAGACTTAATAGAAAATAATACATCCTCTAATACTTTATTATTCAAAATAGTAAAATATTAGTTATTCTGGAGCTTTCAATTAATCTTGTACTACCAACTATTAAATTGACATTCTTTTTTTTTGTTGTCAAGTAGGAAAAATATTTATTGTCTTTAAATATAATGTATGTTGTAGCAATGTCTACTAGACATATATTCACATTATTGATCTTAGACCCGACAAGATGAATATCTCTATTTTTTTTAATAAAATAAAATATATGCAGTAAAAAATTTACAAGTTAACATTAAATAACATTAAATATATAATTAAAATACATAATAAGAATATATCATTTAAATATAATAAGAACATATTAAAGTATCTTCATAATATAGTTGTACTAAAATATACCAATTACTATTAAATTCATTCTTGGATATTCTCATTATTAATTAAATGATCAATTCCTTCTTCAGAACAAAAAAATCAACAATGGATATTTTTATTATCAATCATATAATCAATTCATCTTTCAAGGTGGGCAAATATCTCGATGTGATATATCAACTTGGTCATGGTTAAAATCATCACAAGATATTTTAGTTTTCAATGATGCTTGATAAAACAGTAAATACATAACCAATGGTCTTTTATACTACATTAAGGATAATACGTTTTTTATATTTTTTTTATTTTTTTATTTTTATCTTTTCATTATTTACCCATTTCTGGTGAGTTGAAAGTATTCATCTATATTTTTGATGAGTTATTCACTTTTGGTATGTTAGTGAGTTACGGTATCCATTCACTTCTAGACATTATGATTTTTCATTAATAGTTATATAATAGTAAATTCATTTTTAAGTCACTTATTTTATTTGTTACAACCAAAAATTAAAAATCAACCATTGAAATCTTTTTAAAGCTTGGAGATGATGAAAACAAAATAATAGCAACACTTACTTAATTTGCTAAAACTATAAATTAAAACCAAATTATTGAAATCCTTTTGAAACTTGACGATAATGAAAACAAAATAATTTCAAAACTTGAGAGATCAGAAAGGATGGTGCTGATAATGTATTATGAAAAAATATAAAAAAAATAATTATAAGAGAAAGTATTTAGACCGAGTAAGAAAATCTTATTCAAATATGTATTCACAAAAAAAAATGAGAGACATATTTATAAGCTAACAACCCTTTAAATTATAATCCTAATATAATTATATCTAAGAGTTTAAATCATATTATATTTCTTGTATATTGCCTATTAGGTTATTTGATTTGGTTTGCACTTTTTTTATCATAACATAATGGACATTCACGTATTTATTTATAATATATATCAAAATTTTCATTCTTTTTCTCTTAAGATTTCAATAGCATACTCCCTTAAGAATTTAATAAGAAAAAGGTTTATAAAAAAAAAAAGGTGAAAGAGGTTTTGAGAAAAGGTAAAATATTTTGATTTTTAATTTTAATAAAAGAAGAAGGGAGAAGAAAATGGAGTTAAAGAGAGATAAAAAATTAAAAAAAAAACCACACTATGAGGAAGTAAAAAAAAAAAAAAGATTTTTATTTTTTATTTAATTAATTATTCAGCACTTTTTAATTTTTCATGGAGGGATAGCATTTGTCAGGACATGAAATACAAATCTATAACAGAAGAAACGAGGGGTCAAACGGAGCTCCACCGTGGGTGGCGAGAAAAACTGCAAGAGTGACTTTTGCTCACGCACTCTGGCACGTCATCAAATCTTGAAATGGCGTCAGCTGTGACGACGGAGGGACTGCCCCCTACGTCACATTGTAAAGCTGTGGCCTATATATTAATGGCGTTCGGCTGTGACCGGATGAAACTGCCAAGATCAATTAAAACCCTTTCCACTAAACACAGAAACAAAAATGGAAGGCAGATTGCAAACTCAACAGGAGCAAGACGATACCACCATTGACACTCCCAGCCTTCATCTTCTCACTCCCTACAAATTGGGCAACTTCAATCTTTCTCATAGGTAATCATGTATAGCATAGCTCCTTCACTTTCTCCAAACCCTCTTTAGTACTTTCCTTGCCTTTGAAATTTTGGGTGCTTGATTTAATCTGTCAGTTTATCATTTTGCTTCCCAGAGTTGTATTGGCACCATTGACTAGGCAGAGATCTTACAACAATGTTCCGCAGCCACATGCCATTTTATACTATTCCCAGAGAGCCTCTAAAGGGGGACTCCTAATTGCAGAAGCTACTGGAGTGTCTGACACTGCTCAAGGGTAATTTTAACTCCAGTGGATTATTGTAAATCCTCTTTCACATATGTACATGTTGAATTTGTTTTCCACTGATTACTATCTCAAATGAAACCTTTGTTTTGTTCAACGTGCAGGTATCTGGATACCCCTGGTATATGGACAAAAGAGCAAGTTGAGGCTTGGAAACCCATTGTAGATGCTGTTCACGCAAAGGGTGGGATCTTCTTTTGTCAGATTTGGCATGTGGGAAGGGTTTCAAATTCAGGTTATCTCTTGCCTTAGACCACTGTTGTTTCTTCTCCTCTATATATTGTAGAACGGTGGTGACAGACAATTAGAATAAAAAATACATGATTCAAAAAGCAATGGCTATGTGTCTCTATCTTCATTGATTGTGATAAAGGCATTTTGGTATGCAAACTTGTGGGTAGCACATTGAATGCATACGTTTCATTCTGTGACTAATTCCAACGGATCATTTTTGTAGCTTCAATGGCAATTCTATTCCTGATATTGGATAGATGAGACTGAATCGGCAATAGAATTCTTCTTGTTAGACTGACTTCCTATTTTTTGAAACCCTTGATGTTGCATGTTTAAAATATATTATTGAGATAAGAAGGAACGTTTTCTCAACTCTTGGGGGGTTTTGTCATTTCCTTGAAAAAGACCTTAAGTGTTAGTGTTTGAGAGATCTATGTCAGTCCTTTGTTTCAAAGTCATTTTACTAAAAATATCATTATATAACTACATCCTAATACCTTAATCATTGATGTGATAATGCAGGGGCATGCAATATAGCATATTGCTATACAGCCAGGGCGGTTTTGATTGGGATAGTCATGGTATTTATCCTAGGTTTAGGGTTATGTTTTGGTGCTCTCCTCTTGTACCAAAAATGGAAAGAAATATTGCTGCACTTGCTCAATATTTTGGCTCATGATGTTCATTATGTTTTGCATGCCTGTGTGCCAGAGAATCCCATCTTGTAGGAAAATTTATACACTCCTCCTTTTAGCATGCAGTTTGGTTTGTTTGGTTTTTTGTTCCCTGAGTTATCTCATTGTCCCAAAAGGATTATTTCCAAGGGCCCCAACCTTCCTAATTACATGCCAACTATTAAATTTTCTTCCTTGATATTGGTGTTCCAATATTGATAGTGTGTAAAAATCTTCTAGTATAATTCTATTCACTGTATCTTTTGATGCTAAGGATCCTATTCTTAGAACTCTAAATGCAGAATTACCACACAGGCAAAAGAGAAAGTAGAAAGATCAGCACATTTGAGATAGTCTGCTTCACAATTTTTTTTTTCCCTCTTTGAATTGGTTATTAGTTAAAATAACCACCAGTCTTTTTCCATAGCATAGGAATTCTTGTCAGTTTTCTAGATTAGTGATTGACCTTTTTAGTATGTATAAGATTGGTAACTTTCTTTTTCAAAGAGCAAGGTAATACATATGTGATGGACACCTAGTTTTGTTGACTCTGTATCCCTTGTCAATGCATTCAGGTTTTCAGCCAAACGGGCAAGCTCCAATCTCTTCTACAGATAAGCCATTGAAACCACAGCTTCGAGCCAATGGAATAGATATTGCACAGTTTACACAACCAAGGCGGTTAAGGACAGATGAAATCTCTCAAGTTGTAAATGATTTCAGACTTGCAGCAAGGAATGCTATGGAAGCAGGTAAATTCTTTTCAATATTAAAAATCTTAAGAATTCGAATTTCTTAAAAATTTGTGTGAAACTTTGACCTTTAATTGACTGCCAATATGATGGGAAAGAAGTACTTAATTACAATAAATATCAAAACTATTCACTGCTAGAGGGAGAGGGAAAACAGATTATGATAACAATTATGAGTTTTCTCTATTATTGCAGGGAAAGTATTATAAGTTTGCTCCAATTTTATAGGATAATGCAACTTGCTTTTGCTTTATAAATTTTCACTCAAAATGCGAACTAGGACAAATGACAATGCTAATTTTCATTTCTTGTACTTTCGAGATGGTCTCAAGTATTATTTGGTTGCAAAATCTTTAGAATGGGTTAAAGAGAAAGAAGAGTTGGCTCATATGTTTCCTTCAAAGTTTAGTTTATATAATGTGGTTCAATAATGCAACTCTTATTTTTTGGTGGTTTCATGCATTTTTTATACTTTTCCCCCTTTTTTATTGTATTTGTTTAAGATTTTCTAGCTGTAGCAGTAATATCTCACAGTTTTCCCTTTCAAAACAATGGAAAAGATGAACCTGTAGAAGAGTTATATTAAAAGTCCCAGATGTAGAATAATTAGTGATTTGGGAAATGAGATTTCTTGTCTCTCTCTCTCAAGAAAAGGAAAAGAAAAGAAAAACCCAAATTAATGATGCCTTTTGATTTCTTCCTATGTTTTGATGAACTGTCAGTAATAAGCATTTATGGTCAGGCAGTATTACAATCATTAGGCAGAAAGGATTGTGTGCATGAATTTGCAAAATAAAATTACTGATGATTTTTGTTTTGAAAAGTAAAATTGCTGATGGTTAGTATATTATACCATTAGTATATTAACTACTCTTGGAAGTAATTAATGGCCCTGCGCTGGTGCTTCTATCTTCCTTTCACTTACCTCTTGCCCAAATGTTAGTACTTCGCTGAGATGCTGATTGTGCTTGCTGATTTATAGGTTTTGACGGAGTTGAGATCCATGGGGCTCATGGCTACCTAATTGACCAGTTTATGAAAGATCAAGTGAATGATCGAACAGACCAATACGGTGGATCTCTAGAGAACCGCTGCAGATTTGCCTTAGAAGTAGTTGAAGCAATTGCTAATGAAATAGGAGCTGACAAGGTTGGAATAAGGCTATCTCCCTTTGCAAATTACATGGAATCAGGAGACTCTAATCCAAAAGAACTAGGCCTTTACATGGCTGAGTCCTTGAATAAATATGGAATTCTCTACTGCCACATGGTTGAGCCAAGAATGAAAACTGTGGCTGAGAAACATGAATGTCCTGACAGTCTTATTCCCATGAGGAAGGCTTTTAATGGTACATTCATTGTCGCCGGTGGTTATGACAGGGAAGATGGAAACAAAGCTGTTGCTGAGAATCGTGCTGATCTGGTTGCTTATGGTCGATGGTTTTTGTCCAATCCAGATTTGCCTAGGAGATTTGAACTTGGTGCTCCTCTCAATAAGTACAACAGAGATACCTTCTACTTATCTGATCCTATTGTTGGTTACACTGATTACCCCTTTCTTGAAGCCTCCAGTTAAGTTCTCTAAAAAAGGAGAATTGTGAAATGCTTTTAACCTGTCTAATAAAGCAGAATTTGTGATTTTACTTTATGTTTTGCCTGATTGCTTTCTGTTTAGCTTATGCCTGTAACAATAGTTCTTAACAAATCGGAATTTCGTATAGGTAAGAGATGAGATGGATCATTCCTTTCCAAACAAAGGAGAAAGAGCACTCCCCTTTACTTTACATCGAGGAAGCAGTCACAAAAACTATTGCTTCATACATCCCCGTAAGCAGCTGAAGTCTCTTCTGAGTGATCAACAACCAAAACAAATAAGCACTCCCTGCATTAGCATCAGCTAGAAAAGATATTAAAAACAAAAAGCAGCAACACTGCTACCATTCAGACAAAGTTTCACATCAATCGAATCAATAACATTGAGAAAGAAGAATAACTTGGCAAATCCATACCATCAAAAGCATTAACATGGGATGATTAAAGCAGTCCTTGAAATTTTAGAACTGGACAACACATGATCGGACACAAATTATAAACAACATCTTGGAAGATGACTTTAAACCATTTCAAATCAATATTGAGTTGGTATCAGGAGCCAAAAGAGACCACCTCACACGGTAAAGTAACATGAAAACCAAATAAAATGATAAATGTAAATACACATGCACACAAAAATAAAGATAGATAAATCATTTATTTTTCATATAACTTAGGATTTGGGTCCCACTTTCAAATACTACTTTCCTTTTTTGCTTTTCTTGCTTCTATGTACCCAAAAAACTGTTACTTCCTACTTTTGGTCATCCATTCTGCTAATCGTCATTAGAGTTATATTTGGCATTGTGCACTTATATTAGGGATTAATATATAGCCTACAAGTTCCTTTTGTTGCTTCAATTTCTGGTAGTTTTTGATGAAGACATATAGATTTGAGTTAATGACTTTCTTACTCTTGGTTCTTCTATCTCTCCCCTTTATTTCCTCTATTTCTTGCTAGTTTCTTTCTCCCTACCCTCTAATTTTCCTTCTGTTCTCTATTCTCTCCTTCTTCCCCTCCTTTAGCTAATCCTCTTAAAAAATGTTTTCCCCCATATGATGAGAGTAGCTTCACCATATCATAGAAAATAAATGCATAATAGACATTGAGTTATTAACATAAAACAAACTCCTGCAGATCAGGTAACTTACAGAGCAAGGCATAGGATTTTTACATTTAACAACTAAGCAATTTGTTCATATCAGAGGGTATATAAGATTAATCAAAATATCATTTAAAACTATTGAAGTAGAAGTCACAAATAAGCAAGAGTTATTTGCAAATAAAGTATTTCCACGTGTCAATCTCTCCTTTTTTCACTTTACACAGGAAATTGCTTTTGTATTTTTCCCAAATTCCAACAAACAAAAGAAACACAATAAATCTCAAACTCTATGAATTGCAACCTAAAAAGTCCATATCTTGTGCACACCAAGGCATCACATACCAATTAACTAAACAAAGCAGAGTCTAACACAGCCCAGATGCATGAAATTCATAGAACTCAACCTACCAAAAACATCAATTTGCTCTTTTCTAGCAGGTAATTGCGCTTCAACAGCAGCCCTCAAATGGGAGCAAGAAGCCCGTGTCTCACCTTTTTTGCTTGATGAACACATATCTGGTACATAAAAGAATAACAGCACATCAAAACAAAGGTGCACAATGAATCTTGAATAGAAATTTGTTGATACAAACAATAAATCAAATGTAGATCCATACGTAGGGAAATGTTGCACATAATAGTTTGTTCACATCCTCAGATGTTTTCTCAATCCACTCTTTTGTATGATCCGCATGCAAAGATCCCATTCCCTTGCTAGAGATCAGGGCTACTTTATTCTCCAGATTCAGTCTTCAAACTAAGCATATTGACTGCTTCCCCATTCATATTTTCCACCAATGTTTTGCTCTGAGCTTTCGTTGGTAATTGATGGAGCTCCTCCAAGAATGAAACAGTAGATTTGTACTTATTTATGGCCAACAGAAGTATCTATGCACGTATCAAGACCAGATAAATTGGCATCATCTTGGAGGACTATCATAAGGTACTCAGCCAAGCCCCTAACTGCTTGGTCAATAGCTTTTACACTTCCAGCAGCCCTATTTATTATTGTTTTTGAGATGTGTAATACTGTGCAAAACTGGCTAACTACACCAGGTAAGAAGAAAGCCAATGCATCTGTAGTACCAACCTGGAAAAGAAGTAATGCCAATAGAATTAATCCAATTTTTCATGTTTGATGAAGCACTATTGCAATAAAAAGCTAGAAGGAACTTCTCTACTTAAATCAGATGAGCTTACAAATTTGCAATGCCATAAATTTTTCCCACTAGAACAGCCTTCGTTCTCATTTCTCCAGTGAAAAATAGTGCCAACCTCAATATTCATTTTCCAACCTAATGATTTCTACAAAAAACTAAATCCTCTCACCACTAGAAACATAACTAATATATGTTGGAATACATACTCAGATACATATGAACAGTGTGTGTGCATAGGTAAAGAACATTCCTAAAAGATTATGGATAATACACTGCAAAAAAGACAGAAGCAAACGGTATAAAATTTCATGGAAAGACATGATTCTGTTTGTATAAGGTTAACTTGTTTGTATTTCTTGAGCAGAAAATGAGGCCACAATCGAATTTCATTTATCAAACTAGAAACTCTAAGAATTAAAATCATCTCTCGAATGAAATCATTAATATATGTTAGTAAGCATACTGTATTCAGGTAAATGCAAAGAGTATTTCTCAAAGATAATGGAATTTACAAAGCTAAAGCAACAAAACAAACTCAAATTACAAGAAATAGCAACATGCAATTCCTTTCATATAAAAGTTTAACTGAAAGATATCTAGGGCTGTTGATTGTAGGCGCTTAGGTCCAATGAAAGACACAATAGAGTACTTACATAAAAGGACAAAGAACCAAACAATTAATATATAGAAGCTCCTTGTTCAGGGTCTAATGTTGCAATTACCTTAGGCAACAAGAACACGTAGGGTGAAAAGAGCTTCAATATGCAGATTTGCACTGCCCTGATGTCCTCATGTAGCCTCAGTATCTGCAGCCTTAGCACAAGACCAATCATCAATTTCATTGAAACAATTAAATAAAATAAGTCAGCCAAAACGTTAAAGTTACTCCAGGATAATTATAAATAAAAGGGAATTGACATACTTGGAGTCGAAGCAATAGCCAGTGTCCTACGGCAGCCGAAACTGCTTCTGACTGCAGAAATGCAAGTAAGCGTTCCCCTTGTTCCAAGTCATGCTTCAAAGTTCCAGTTGGAGTCTGCAGGTCTCTAGTTTCTAAGAGCATGGGTAAATCAAGACTTTGTTTACACAAGCAGGACTGATTAAATCAGGGATGTAAATTCGGAAGCAGAGCTCTGAAACACTTGATCACTCCTTCACGAAACTCTTCTGAAGCCTCTGATGTAGAAAGAAAAGCAGCAAAAGTCAATTTTCGCAGAATAACTACCATCTGTGACAACAGAGCATCACACTTCATTCAGATTAAGAGAATGTCCAGGCAAAAGTAACATGACCATTCTAATATATATGCTAACAGGAAATACTAATATAGACAAAAAACAAAAGGCTAGAATCAATTTTATCATTGAAATAAGTAAAAACTGAATTTTAAAAATTGGGCTGGCCGTAATCTATATACGTATACCACAAACCACAAACCTCAAACCTCAAGGGCCGCGCTCCCCCCCCTCCACTCCCTGATTTCTTTTATATCCCATCAGTGTTTTCAATCCCAAAACTTTATTCCTCCCTCTAAATCTCAAAGAAAAAACACTATGTGATGTCACAGAAACATGCAACTAAAAGCACCCACAACATCAAGGTATGCACTAAAATCTTGAGTTGACGCAGACATCCTGCTTATGCTCATTTACATATAGTTTCATGTCCATATGCATTGCAAACAATTAACTGTTTAACAAGGCAGATAAGAAATAATGAAAATGCATGCTACAGATGGATGAAGCATTTATTGCCATGAAGCATTTATTGCCATTCTTTATTCTAATCACTATATCAGTATAGAAGAAACCAAGCAGTCATTCAAACATAAGCTCATATTATTGTTAGGCAATAAAAGAAAGAAAAAACAAGTAAATTAATAGAAAACAGGAACATACCAAGTTTTCTGTATGAAAAAATGCTGGAAAATGCAAGTTTGGGTGTCCACAAATTCCCAACAGCAAATCCAATAGAAAAAATGGAAACTAGAGTGCTAATTTAAAATTCAAAACTATGCTGACATGTAACATTTTCTATCCTACTTAACAAATAAAAGAACAGCAAGAATTCCTCAAAGATCCAACACTGAATTAAGGTATACCTTGTCTTAATGCTTCTTAAATTGATCATTTCTTTTAAATATTGCAATTTAGAAATAATAAATGGAACAGAAAGAGCTATTAACAAGTGAGGATCCAAAGTTAACTTACAGCTCCAGGAGAGAGACAACTTCACTGTTTCAAGCGCAAGAACTTTAAATGAATAGAAAAAGATGGTCTTGGTCAATCGACAAACAATGATGTGACAGCTATATATACATGCATAATTATGATCATGTGGTCCAAATATTCTTCATAATTAAATGTTCAGTTTCTTATACCTAAAAAAAATGACATAAGCAACTGGATGAGAGAACAATAATTTTAATAAAGCAAACAATTTTATTTTCTCATGTTGTGCATAAATGCAAACAATCTCTAGATTATATTTTAGGGGTAACGGCAAATAACCGAGGACAAGTTTGTTAATTTCCAACTATTGATA